TTCTTTTCTTTTTCCTTTAACAACTGCTGTAATTTCTCTTCTTGTTTAATTTCTCGTTCTTCTCGTTTCTTTTCTTGTTTATTTTGTTGTTCGAGCTGCCATTGTTGCAGGTTTTCTTGCAACTGCTGTTGTCTCTCTTCTTGTTGCTTTTGCTGTTCTTGTATTGCTGCCATCAAGTCTGCTAAACTGTAGTTTGATTTTCCGCCTCTCGTTTCCATTTTTTTTCGTTCCACTTCTGACACCAATTTGTTACGTTTCCGTTTGTTAATTAACTTTCCGTAACTTCGTTCCGACGAAACTTTAGCGACACAAGTCCTTACTTAATAAAACTGGTTTATTCTTTCTGAATACAACTTTACGATACACTTATTTTCAACAATCGCGCTTAAACAAACGCTATATCAACGAACGTCAATAATACTTCTGACTGCGGTTCAATTACTCATTATCTACACACACATTACATTTTTATATATATACCAGCCTACCCTATCTGGTAAATGCTAGGGCATTCATGAAGGAACAAGATAGTTCTAGAAACTAGAGGGCATGAGAATCACACGATCTCAATGACGCAACAATATTCTATTTAAAAATGCATGATACTTAATTGCATTTAAACAGTGAATTTGTAAATGGCAGAATTCCTGCAGTCCTGAAAATCCTTGAAAAGTTTGAACATTTAGACAATAAGCTGATCCAAAACTTTTGATGAAGTTTAAAGGTAAGTAAACAGTTTAAAAACATCATGAACTGTTTTGCCTTGTGCACATGTTATCGTCTCACATGCTGCGCAGTTCTAAGATCATGATCACTACATTTTAATTGATCTATTGATACTGTCTTTTAACAAGGTAAGTAAATGTTTTTTAATACTTTGTTAAGCATTGCAAGTTTGACTACAAGATAATAAAAATACTAATATTTGTATTAAGAGATTACTATTTTGCATAATATATTATACTCTTTAGGGATTCTAGGCATGTATACATAGGCTAGATTTTAAATCATTCCTACCAATCAGATAAAAACATGACTAATGTTAAAATACTTGAATAAGGAAGCACATTATGCTAATATAATAAGAATAGGTAGGCAAACAATGATATATATATAAGAAAAAGTTTTATTGATGGTGGAACATACTACATGCTTCGACAGAACATTGGTCTGTCTTCTTCAGGTATATACCAGTGTTCCGTCAAAACATTTAATATGTTCCACCTTCAATAAAACATTTCCTTATACTTATAAATTGTTGTTTGGCAACCTATTATTAATGTTAAGATCTAACCTGTAATGTTTG